ACAATCTTGTTTACACGGAAAGAATATATATAATAGTACAGAAAATATGTAAGTTCTCTCTTTTTTCATATAAATTCTTTTCAATTTTATTATGTTTGTAGTAATGTTTGTATATAAAATTATCAGAGTAAAGTCCATCTTAAGAAATATAATAAATTTTGCAAGAAACGTAGCAAATTTTTTAGTAGCACATTTCAGTACCTAAAATAACACATAAAATGAAAGGATAAAAAATTACTGATTTGTTAAAAAATAACTGATCGTTTGTCTGTTGATCGTCTTTTGTACATTTCCTTTTTTATATCTTTTCTTTTCTTTTGTTTGGTCAACTGCGCTTGTCCGTAATTTCATCCCTCATGCGGCGGTTCGCGGGATGGGATTGAATAATGCACTCGCACTCCTCACTTCACGTCATAACGTATTCATGAGTCACGACTATCCTCGCGAGAAAAGAGAGAGAGAGAGAGAGAGAGAGAGAGAGAGAGAGAGAAAGAGAGAGAGAGAGAGAGAGTTTGGGCGTTACTCGGATAAATATTTTACTTACGGGCAGTGAGAGACCGAAACGCGAAGTGGCATTGTTCGCTCGTGTTTCTTCCTTTCGCGAGACTGTGGGGACGGGTGTGCCGCGCGTATTCTCTCTCGTTTCCCTCAAAAATATTATACCTGGCCGGATAGTCGAGTAGACGCGAGCAAGAACGTATCGGCATACGCGTGAAATTATCATTATTATCACGTGCAGGAGGGGCTTCACGCCCGAGATACTGCGAGTTATTCTCCTTATCGCGGAGAGACCGTCAGATAAACATCGCGCCCGGATTCCTCCCTCACCGGAAGTGCTCCCTCGCTACTCGTTTATTCGGAAATCTCCGCATCACGCGAAAAACACCATGCGAAAACGAATGGAGTTTCGACCGAGTTCAAAGCGACGTCGACGAGGCAATCCTCCCTCGAGACTTTACTTCTTCCGTAGTTCTCGTTCGAAAACATATACTTCACTCCGAGAGTCACACTGAGAGAATATTATAGTTTTTCTTTCATATAAATTCTTCTTAAATGTTATTATGTTATTATGTTTCTAGTACTGAGAGTGCAGAAGTGGACTGTATAAAAAAAAAGAAACGTTTAGTTCAACTAACCAAATTTCTGTTAAAATATAAACGAGCCAGGAAATTCCGTTTGAAGTTACCTGAATTTCGTTCAAGTTAATCAGAAATCTTGTCAACTCGAACAGAATTCTAGTAGTTTCAACCGGAATTTCTAGTTTGTTCATATTTCAGCAGAAATTTGCTTAATCCAACCAAACTCTTTTTTTTCATGTGTCAATAAGATCTATCTTGCTGAAGAACATAATAAGTTTTTTAATAATACATTTCGGTTCCTATGATATGTATAACGCGGAAAAAAAAACAGTATAGATGACTCACACATAAATCCGACTGTGCCAATTAGATTAATAGCAAAGTGCAGAACTGATTCTCGTGGTGTAACATGATGGACAATAAAGTAGCTTGACTTTAATAAATGAAAAACAAACCTAAAAGTATGTGCAAATCTTGCTTTCGTTTTTCTCTACGAGAACAATCTGTGTATAGATGCGCTTTTCGCGATTGTTCTGTTTACACGGCAAAGATACACGGCGAATCGCTCGAATTCTTTATCACTCCTATCGCCGCCTCGACATTGAGACGATTTGCGAGACGTGTAATTCGCGACCTTGAATGGTACGTGCGATCGGTACACGCATAAAATTTGCGCGATCTTCGCTCGCGCGAACAGTTGCCGCGATCAGCTTCGCTCCGTTTCGTTTCAATTTCCATCTATTCTACTGCGCGCAGCGCATGCGAATGCGTGTGCGTACGTGTATGTGTGGGAACCGGCTCGTTTAATCGATCGAAATTGGCTAATTCGACGAGGCTGAAGCCGTCCTGCAACGTCGGCTCGGCCGATTATCCACGGTATGTCGATGCAGGCAAAGGCGATCGATATTGTTACCAGCCTCGTTAGAATTAGCCGCTCCCGAGGAAGATCGCTGAAATCATCCCGTCGCTTCCCCCTGCCGAGCGTTTTCACAAAAACCGACCTTGTAAAGTGCTACTTCTTGTTTTTATTTTTACTCCCGGTTTCACTTTTATACGCGTCTCTCTCTCTCTCTCTCTCTCTCTCTCTCTCTCTCTC